ACTCAAAGAAACCACAAAAATTCTCCAGTCAGAACATACAGCCAAAACTGGGGGCTATGATGAGTCCCTTATGAACGTGGCGTTGGAAAAATGAGAAAGCCCTCTGAGTACACTGTAAAACTGAATTGTAAGGGAGCAGAGTAGAGATTTGCAAAGATACTGATTAAGAGCAAAAGGTCTCCTAAACTAACTGGACTCAACTCTTGGTCAATTAAATATACCAATATATTTAAAGAAAGAATGTGTCCAACAAATGGGGGACTGAGAAGCCATAAAAGCATAAGAAGAAGAAATCCAGAGAAGGCGATCTTTGTGCTTTTCAACAAAGACTTGTCTTAGATGGGTGAAGTTGTGAACCAGGGCTGTACTCAATTTCCAAGAGCAGGCATATTATTATTGTTATTATTGTTAATCTCTAGCATGTATTGGTTGTTTTCAATGTCAAGTACTGCATACTTATTATGTATTGTCATTTAGTCCCCATAAAAACTCAAGGATGTAGACATTACTTTTATCCCTATTTTATAGAAGAGGATTTTAAGGCTGTAGGAGGTCAAGTTGCTTGTTTCGGTTGCTACAGCTAGTTAAGTGGCAATGTTGGGATTTGAACTTAGTCTAGAGAGCCTGTCCATGTAACCACAATTCGATGAATTTTTGAGGAGAAAACGGAATTCTCTCCTCAGTTTTGCAAAGAGAAATCTGAAGATTAGAAGTTTCTGACTTGCCCAACAATGTGTGTTGGAATTAAGGCAATAATAATTCAAGGTCTCTTGAATCTTAGTTTAATGTATTTCCAGAATACCAGGATGCTTCTCCTCCATGGGGACGTCATTAAAGAACAGGCCAGTAAAGGTTAGACTGCCTTCGGGGCTGGGGCAGCCCCCCATGGAGGACTGTACTCTTTGGAAGGAAGTGACTATGCACAGCTTACACTTAAGGAGTGGAGAGTGGTTCTCCACCTTCTTGAGGGCAGATTATCTACATAAACTGTTTGGAATTCTTCTGCATGAGAGATTCGTCTATTGTCCCCCATTTATTTACTTATTCAATCATTTATTTACATCAGTATGGACTCCTCTGTATTTATTTTATACTTTGGGTTATAAATCCAATAGGTTTTATTTATTTTCTTGTTTAAATTGTTGAAGCTTTTGCCTTGCTCATTTGGCTCCTATGTCCTTTTGATATGCCCATCATTGTGGGCTTTCTCTTTTTTTGAAGCACTTCCTTACTTTCTCACACTACAGAATGCTCCAGGCTCATCTTGTTTATTTCCTGCTTCAGTCCCAGAATCAGACATTTCTCCAAGGAGCCCAGTTTCCTTTTATTGAAGAATGATATTGGAAACCAAGGTCCAGGTGGTGTGAATCACATTTTAAATAGTAGCTAATACTTAGAAGTCAAGATAGTTGCTGCCCTTAGGGGGGTGGTGAGTGGAAGGGGTCCCATGGGGCTTCACAGGTATCTGATCTGTTTCTTGAACTAAGTGCTGGTTCTGTGGGTTTCTTCATTTTATAGAAAATCATCAAGCTGTATGCTTATGGTATGTGCATTTTTCTTCTTTCATGCCATATGTCAATAAAAACATTCAAAAATAGGGACAAAACAAAACAAAAACTAATAACTAACACTTACTGAGTATAGAGCAAATACAGCTCTGGAATCTGAATCGCTAGGTTCAAATAATTTATGAGCAATATAACCTTCAGCTAACTACTTAACTTTTCTGTCCCTCAGTTTTCTTCATTTATGAAATAGAGATGGGGTTATTATCTCCCATCTCCCGTTATTATCTCCCATTAAATGTTTGTATACATTTAACGCTAACAATAGCCATACACACACACACTCACACATATTGTTGTTATTACATGCTGTCAAGACGGCTCCAACTCCTGGTGACCCTATGGATGAGTGATGTCCACAATGTCCTGTCCTCAACAGCCCCACTCAGCTCATGTAGACTCGTGCCTACGGCTTCCTTTACGGAGTCAATCCATCTCCTGTTTGGTCTTCCTCTTTTCCTGCTGGCTTCTACTTTTCCCAGCATTATTGTCTTTTCCAAAGAATCTGCCTTCTCATGATGTGCTCAAAGTAGAACAGCATCAGTTTTATCATTTTTGCCTCTAGCAATAGTTTGGGCTTAATTTGCTCTGGGACCCATTTGTTCATCTTTCTGGCGGTCCAGGGTATCCATGGAGCTCTCCTCCAACACAGGATTTCAAATGAATCCACCTTTTTCCTGTCAGCCTTCTTCACTGGCCAGCTTTCACACATATACATAGTCATTGGGTATACGAGGGTGTGGATAATCTTGGCCTTTATCTCTAATGACACTTCCTTACACTTGATGATCTTTCCTAATTCTTTCATTGCTGCCCTTCAAGTCTCAGTCTTCTCTTGATTTCTTGGCTGCAGTCTCCTTTTAAATTGATGACTGAACCAAGGTAGACAAAATCTTTAACAATTTCAATGTCTTCATTGCCTATGTTAAAGTTGTGTAGTTTTTCTGTAGACATGACTTGTGTATGTGTATATATACGTATATAGTCAATCCTCATCCTTTGTGGATTCTGTGTTTGCGAAGTTGCCTACTTGCTAAAATTTATTGGTAACCCCCAAATCAATACTGGCACTTTTGAGGCCATTTGTGGACATGCACAGGGTGGCAAAACATTTGAATCGCCTGATGCCATGCTCCCAGTGAGCTTGAACAAGGTGATGCTCTGGCTTCTTGTTTCGGCTTTCATAGTGAAAACAAGTGTCTTTTTCTCATTCTAATTAACACTACTTTTTTCACATTTTTGTGCTTTTTTTGGGTGACTTCACTGTTTAAAATGGCCTACAAGTGCAGTGCTGAAGCCCTTCCTGTCTGGTATTCCAAAGCACAAGAAGGCTATGATGTGCCATATGGAGTAAATACATGTGTTAGATCAGCTGTATTTAGTTGTGAGTTACAGTGCTGTTGGCTGTGAGTCTGATATTAATGAACCAACAACTTATATTAATTAGGTGTCTTTAAACAGAAACAAGGTTATGTATTGATCAGTTGATAAAAATTTTGTGATCAGATGCTTGCAGGAACCTAACTCTGTATTCCCCTAGAAGTAATGGTTCATTATTTGCTAATTTAGTGCTTGTGGTGACTTTACAGAATACAAGGACTACAAATAACGAGAATCAGGTGTATGTATGTATATGTAGAGAGATAGAATAGATATACATAGATCTATGTGTATATCTAGATAGATACACATAGCTGTCAATGTATGTCTATCTATGCAGATATAGATACATAAAGATATGAGAAGAGTGCCTATCAATATAATAAGCCCTCAATAAATGTGATAGCTATTATTATCTAGGTATCTGACTAGAATTGCTCTCCAATTCAAGTAGCTCTAAGTAGCACTTCTTCATGGTACAGAAGGAGCAGTAATAAACAAAGCAAAGCCCTTACTCTCATGGAACTTACATTGTAGTATAAGTTAGGAGACCTAGGTTTAGCACTGTATGCACAGCATCTAGTATACAGTACCTAGTACCTAGGAAGTCCTCAATATTTTTTGAACTACTTAAAAATCTTAAGGGAAAAGTGGGAATATGATGGGGCAGAGCAAAGTTCAAAGTCAAGTCACTATATTAGACTAAAATAAACAAGTTAACAAATGAGTACTGGGTAAAGAGATTTTTGTAATGACTAGCCCTTGTCCCGAAACTTAATATTCTATGAAGAGGTGTCTTGAGCTCTGCGTCAACAATAAGAATCCTATCTAACGTAGGGAATGAACACATGTTCTAACTTTCAAGTCAACTAGTGTAATATTCCGATTTCTTTTCTAGGTTAAGCAAGCAAATCTGTCCTGATGCAATGCCAACTAGATACATGATCTGATTGTTCCAGTTATCCTGTGCCAAAAAAAGCAAAAATGGGCTTGCTAGTGTTTATTATGGAGTATGGAACACATTTGGTGTTAGAGTGCCTTAGAAATAAGCCACTTTTCAAGGCTTTCTAGGCAATTTGAATCAGGTTGCTGAGCTTTGAAAAAAATCCTACAGCCGAGTTCAGAAGACCAAAGAACTTGGAAAACATACAGACTCCAGGCTATTTTAAAAATTGCAGCATTCAAAGCAATATGAGCTGTACCCAGAGCAGCGCGGGCCGGAATAATATGAGGGTAGGTTTTAATGGAAAGGAGGAGCAGGGAAGTGACAGTATAATGAGCATTTGTAATACACAACAAGGGGAAGTTCAGTTTATTTCCATAAAATATGTGCAGTGTGGGGGAATTCTATGAGATAGGGTCATTTTCTGGAATTTAGGTGAGGCCCAGAATGACCCACTGGATATTAAACCCATACATAAGCCTCTACCAAAATGGAGGCAAAATAATTGCAGTCCTGGAGTTCCTCTGGGCAGTCTATCTGGACTGTCAAACCGTACCATTTAGATGTCTACTTTCTCTGTGAAAGATCTGGAAGAAAGAATCAGAGGCCCTGCTCCAGAATATATGGGGGTAAGAGGTAAGGAAGGAAGCCTGTTTAAATTAAATTGGATCTCATATATAAACCGAATCAACTATTGCTAAAACCCCTTTTCATCCCTAAAATACAATAATTGTGTGAAAGAAACATGACATTTTTATTTCATAACAAGAATCATTTTCTCACCCCCAAAATTAAAAAGTACTACCAGCATGCCTACACCATATATTGTTCATGCTGTTTCCTTCTTGAGGTGCAGAATTACTCCCTTTCGTTTGGGAAAGCTTTATTCTTTATTTTTTTATTTTACATTTATATTCCCTTTATTGGGAAGCTAACCAAACACCAAGGTAGCAGATGCATGTGTGCAGTGCCACGGAGTACGGTACTCAGTAATCTCTTCAAGAAAATCTGGTTCGAGATGGGAGGTTGGTGAGCTGTACCAGCACCAGTTCACTCCTGCAGAAGGCAGGTGTCCTTTATTGGGTGAGCTCTGCTCCAGGGCTCACTGTCAGCCTGGATAAGATGGTCTTAGAGCTCGCTGCAGGCTGAGGGTCCTCCTACCAAATCCTGGCTCTTTCCTTCTCTCCTTTCACAGATGTCAGAACTGCAGCTCAGCCTGAAGACTCTCTCCAAAATATTCCTGCTCCCTCTCCCCACCCCTTTATCCTTCACATGGATTTTCCCCTCCCCCCACCAAAGTCTCTCCGATATCTAATTCTGTCTTTGTGTCTGCTTCTTGGAGATCATGGACTGACACATATGAAAGAAAGGATTTGCTTAGTCAGTAAGAACACGAAGAGAGGAAGGGAATAGTCTATATATTTTTGACACAGGTCACCAGGTGCTCTCTGACTGAGGACCTGATAGAGCTGTTAGAATTAAGTCAAGTAAGAGACGATTTCCCCTTCTTGGGCAGTGCCCAGGAGGAACAGATGACTCGCCCTGATGAGAACTAGGGGTCAAGGATCCTGGATCCATCTTGGAACATTGGCTAATTTTGGGTGGGAAGGAACAGACCGAGATTCACACAAACAACCTCCAGCCAGATCTAAGTTTCTCAACTGAGAGCTAGGTAAGAAACCAGCATAGTGAAGAAAGACAAAGATTGTATGTCCAATTCCATGCTGAGTTTCCTTCACACTTTTCATTCAGAATTCAGGGTGTACTCCTGGGACCTCTCCTTCCCCTCAGGGACTGCCCTGAATGTTCATTTGTCCAGCATCGCCTGGATGGAATTACTAAGGGCAATTGCTTGGTTCACACCTCTCATATGGGCAGAGCAGAGCTTCAAACATTTCCCTTGGTTTGTAGCTGGAAGAGTCCCAATTTGAAAAGCAAAGATGAGAGGGGCAGAGGGATCATGGACATTACCCAAATGTAAGGCACACCGATATTATCAGATTTATAACCTGTTACCTGGAAATCTGAGAAAATATTGGTAAATCGTATTGGCTTTTCTGCCCGAGGGACTGTGGAGAAAGACTCTGGTGGAAATCATCTTACTTTGCTCCCATCCCAGCCCACTTTTCTCTCAACAAGGAGAGAGCTGGTTAAGTGGATGATTTAGAGTTAGGTTCCAGAGGGGCATACATTTATGAGTTACCCTTCCTCAAGACTGGGGAGATGCTTTCTTAATTCAGGAAGAAACACTGAGTCAGGAGTTAGAAACTCTGTTATTACACAAACCCGCCTTGTGGCTCTGAGCAAGACTTCAAAACTCTCTCACCTTCAGTGTCCTATGCTATCCATCATAGATGGATCTATGATGCAATGTGTGGTCTAACTCTGCCATTTTCGTAATGCTGTATTGTCCAAAGAAAAAACGGGCACGCAGAATATGACAATACGGAAGCATATTTGAAATTGGGGGTTTCAAAAGAAAACTATCTTCATAAATATTTCCTTTGAAAATCCTTGCTTATCTTTTTTTTTTTTTTTTTGTGAGGATCTCAGCCCTGTGCTAACATCCGCCAATCCTCCTCTTTTTTTTTTTTTTTTTTTGCTGAGGAAGACTGGCCCTGGGCTAAACATCCATGCCCATCTTCCTCCACTTTATATGGGACGCCGCCACAGCGTGGCTTGCCAAGTGGTGTGTCAGTGCGCGCCTGGGATCTGAACCAGCGAACCCCAGGCTGCCGCAGCGAAACACGCGCACTTAAATGCTTGCGCCACCAGGCCGGCCCCAATCCTTGCTTATCTTGAAGATTAACAGAGCATCTTTTGCAAACACAGAAGCACATTATTCTCTGCTTAATTCAGAGTTTGACTACCAGGCATGTTTATCTAAAAAAAAAAAAAGCATATTACCGAAGTCAAACTTTACATAGAAGATAGCTCTCCTATAAAAGAAATAAGTTATTGTAATATGCCTCATGATTTTTCCAGGAGTATAGTAAACATATTATTTGTTTTTTACTTCCCCAAAACATTAACTACCAAATAGAATATTAGATTAAAAATTTTTTTTAAAAAGCTATTTAGAGAAAAATAATATAAATCTCAAATATCTCATATTTACTTCCTTCCCGAACTCTAAACACTAAACTTTATCTTAAAAAAATAGGGCATGTGAAGGACGAACATAGGAAGGACAGCAACTTGGGAGAGCATCGTAAATATAGCAGGCTCATTTTTCAAGTTGAATGCGTATAATTGTCTAATAGCTATTTGTAGTTCCCATAAAATACCTTTTTCTCTGTATTCATTGTTGCTAGCATTGAAAAGGGACATCTAATATTTTCCCCTTTTAATCTCTTAGCCAATCATCAGTAGCTGGTGAAAAAGAAGAAAAAGGAAAAATTCGATTTGACCTTCTTTTTACCCTATTACCTTGTCTGCAAATCGCTCTGAGACCAGACAGATGGACGGCCACTGCAGCCACCGGGGGCCCGAGGGACCCGCACACAAAGCAGCCAGCACTGTTGGGACCCGACGCTGGCTGCTTCTGCCTCTGAACGTCCCCAGCGTGGCTTTCTCTGGGCCGGCATCACTCACACCCACCAGCGAGGACCTGAATGTTTTGTCTCAAACTGAGAATGTTAATAGAATCTGATTCTCTACAGCCAGCTGGGAAATTTTCCACGGTTGTTCACTTCTAATATGGGCCCTGTTCAGCAGCCACTGTGGCGAGGCCGCCTCAGCAATAGGAGAGGGGGAGTCTTCTGCTAGGGCTCCCTTCCTGCCTTCAAAGGAAGTGATGTATGAAAAGGACTCAGTAAATTGTAACATCCTTTCTGGAGGAATACCCTTTTAAGCAAATGAAGAGGACCACCTTTACAGATAGGTACTAACAAGTACCTTTTTCTTCACACCTCAAGACAATTTATTATTCCCATATTACACATTAATTGAACGCAGAACTATATTAACAGCTTATTCCAGTGGTTCTCGGGGTGTGGTCCTTGAACCAGCAGCATCAGTGTTACCTGGGAGTTCGTTAGAAATGCAGGTCCTCTGGCTGCACCCAAGACCTCCTGAATGGATACTGGGGGTGGGGCCCAGAAATCTGTATTTTAGCAAGCTCTCTGGTAATTCTGATGCGTGCTCAAGTCTGAGGACTACTACTTTATGCCTTTTGTTCATGTTTCTATAATAACATTGATATTTTCAAGTTCATGTTGTCAAAACTCATATTTTCAAATTCATGTCTGTAAAATATTCCATCCTACAAGTGGCTCATGGGCCTGGTGTTATATTTGTCGTGTCATGGGCTTTAAAACTTCAAAAGAGTGGGTCTCTTTGGTCCTGGAGCCCACATCTGTGGCTTCAAGTTGTATGTATGCATTTCCTAATTTTTCTATTTGCAGAAATCTTCAGATTCCATCCAGGTTGGTCACTCGATGGGACTTTACATTTCTTTGGTCATAAGATCATAAGATCTCTAAATATATTTTCCCTCAGTTTCTTAAGACCATTGAATTTAATGGAATCTCAAGATATTTAGAAGTATATTTTCTATTAAGTGATAAAGATGTTTTTAATCTTGATGTGATTCTGCATTCTTTCATAGTATTAAAACATTCATGGATATTTAAAATGATATCCAGTTGAATTTTCTCAGTTGGCTTTTCCTGACTTGCTGTCACAATTTATGAGGCCATTCTAGCAACACACACACATAAGCAAGCCTTCATGAATGAGTGAGAATTTTCAAGTTCATGTGCTCTGGGGCTTACTTTTCATTTTGTCTCCCCTACAAAAGTATGACTCTTGGTTGGAGTAGAAAGAGAGTGATAGTAATGTCTTTTATTCCTTTGGGAATTGTCTGGAGAAGTGAATCAATATTAAGAACTGCAAGTAAGAAAAAAGAAATTCCTAACATTCACAATGGATTGCACTGGTAAGGGTTTCTAAAGTGGAGAATGTTTGAAAAGTTATAGAGCTTAAAGAGCCATATCCAGCTAGTCTTTCATTCAACAGTCATTGATCAAATACTTACTGAGCCCCTACTATGGGTCAGGCATGGCTCCAAGTGATTTGAGATATATGGGTGAACCAAATGAGCAAAGACCTAGGATAAACGATAAATAATACAATAGCAATTTATGTAATATTCCACAAGAGACTAAATGTCATGAAAAAAGAAAACAGTAGAGTAGGATAGTGGGAGAGGGAAGAAGGTAGTGGTTACAATTTTAAATAGGGTGCCCCTGAAGTCCTCATTAGAACTGGGTAGTTTGAGCAAAGATTTGAAGGTGAGGGAGTTAGCTATCCAGATATCTGCAGGAGAGATTTCCAGACAGAAGGAGAAGCCAGAGCAGAGATGTGACTGAGGACAACAAGAGGCCACTGTGCTGGATCAGAGGGTTGAGGGGGAGAGCTCCAGCTAGGGTCAACTTAAGCAGGGCATGGAGGCCATTTATATGGGCTTTGACTTTTCCTTGGAGAGAACTAGGGAACCATTGCAGGGTATTGGACAGCAGAGTAACGTGATCTGACTTATGTTTTCAAAGGGTCATGTGGTTTCAATAGACTTTCAGGGGGCAATCTAGGATCCATAGAGAGTCTATCATCTGGATGGAGATAGTGGCTTGGGCTACTGTGGTAGCAATGGAGATGGTGAGCAGTGGTTAGGTACTAGACAGCCTTTGAGGGTAGAGCCAAAAGCGTTTTTGACAGATTACATGTGGGATGTAGTGTGTTTTGTATATAAAATAAATTTAGTTTGGTGGAATTTTTCCATCTTACTCCATTGAAGGAATTTCCAGAATTAAGTCAGAATTTTCAGCTTTTCTAATGAAAGGGACAAATTACAGTGTGTATGTATTAGTTTGCCAGGGCTACCATAACAAATACTACAAACTGAGTGGTTTAAACAACAGAAATTTGTTTTCTCACGGTTCTGGAGGCTGGAAGTCCAAGATCAAGGTGTTGGTGGGGTTGATTCTTCTGAGGCCTCTCTGCTTGGTTTCTACGTGGCCCCTTTCTCTCTGTGATTTCACATAGTCTTTCCTCCATGTGTGTCGGTGTCTTAATCTCCTCTTTTAAGGTCACCAGTCAAATTAGATTAGGGCCCAAAGATATGACCTCATTTTACTTTAATTATTTCTAAATGGCCCTATCTCCAAATTCAGTCACGTTCTGGGGTACTAGCAGCTAGGACTTCAACATATGACTTTTGGAGGACACAATTCAGCCCAGGACAGTGTGCAATTCTACATTTTACTCACTTACATATTGTCATTTTACT